TAAAGGAACAGTTCTGGGAACGCTCTGTACATAAGGTTTAGCATCTGGCTTAATTCTAATTGACATTTCCATTTTAAATTCACCTATATCACTAAAAATACCAGGAAATGTTTTAGCAACAGACTCTAAATTAAATTTTGAAAACATATTAGTACTCTCAGATTGATTACAATGAACAACACTGCAACTGATTTGATTTACCTGTTTAAGCTTACAATTAGAAAAATTTAGAACATTAAACTTAATGATTGATTCTCTGCTTAATATAGGTTGTCTCAACTTCCTAATACAATATATTGTTTCATCATTTGTAAAACCGTCATAAGTAAATTTTATATGTAGCTTACCCACTGTGTCCAATTTATGATCGTCCGCTGCACCAATTGCATCACATGCCACAATTTTACCCACATATTCTGGAGGTAATTTTTCATAGGGAAAGCAGTTAACATCTGCTCCTGTATCCACAAAAAAAGGTACCTTAAATTTGTCATCCAATAAGATGTCTACATACCAACGATCCTTCTTGTCTAGGTACACTTGGCCAATAAAGGAATCTGTATGTACCACTTGATTTACTGAATCCCTTCCTTCGTCATCTGTACTACTGCTACTGGTGGACCTTGAACACTTAACAGCTCTGACAGCTTTCTTCCTGCACATCACACTCCAATGACCTCTACGTGAACAAGATCTGCATTCAGAGAACTTGGCTGGACATTTCTCCCTATTTTTACATGTAGGTATGCCACAGTATCCACATCTGTAACCTTCCTTAACTTTCTCATGAGTTGTTTCTTGTTTAGCAAAACTCTTACCTTGATGTCTTTTATCACTACGCTCCCTGTAGTCCTGTTTAACTGCACTAACTGACTGCTCCTGTCTCATAATTCTATTTTGACTATCTTGAAGTTCAGCTTGGCGTGCTATTTGTATTGCCTTCTCTAGTGTCAAACCATCATTTAGTTGCATTCTTTCGCTCACCTTTTTATCAGCTATTCCGATAACTATCCTGTCACGAATTAACTCATCTTTAAGAGCTCCATAGCTACAGTGCTCTGCAAGAGTATGTAGACTTGAAATAAAGTTTCCCACAGGTTCTCCTGGCCTTTGTACCCTTGAATTAAATTGAAATCTCTCAAAGATTGTATTTCTTCGGGGAATAAAATGATTGTCGAAAATCTGCATTACATCTTGAAAGGATGCATTCTCCACTGGTTGATTTTGAAGTAAAATATCTTCTGCTTCATTTCCCATTAAATACAACAGTAGGTCTAATTTATCCTTGTCAGATTTTTGTCCAAATCCACTTACAGACATATATCTCTCTACTCTTTTCTTCCATTGGGGCCATGTCTGGGGCTGTGTAAAATCAAATTCGCTTGGAGCCGAAATGTTCGCAAACACTTCTTTATTTATTTGGATAGGTGCATCCATTTTAAGGATTTTAGGTCCCCTCTGATTTATAGGTTATGCATAAGATTTGCACTGTTGTCACGTTCGACCACTCTTTGCTTGTTTAATGTTAACAAAACAAAGCACCAGCTGCCACCATGTCGTGTTATCAAAGAGGGGTTACAAATAATAATCGTTACTTCACAACATCAGTTTATTCTCAACCCTCAAACATACATGCTTGCCCGAGCTTCGGCTACGTTCACATGACATCCCTGTCATCTGTGTTGCCTAACTCCGGCGCCTATATCTTAATCTAAGCTAACAACACACTTACCAAATTATTTAAACTCCTATCTACTAAAATAGGCATAAAAAATTGCAAAACAGTTGGAAATCTCTTTTCAAGTACCAAAACACCTTTAGATATTTGGGAGAAATCAAATGTAGTATATAACATTCCATGAAAAGACTGTCATTTGAAGTATATTGGTCAAACAAAAAGAACCCTTAAAGGGTAGGTTATATCCCACTTGTGCTCTCAGTACCCACTCTATCTCTCTTAACCACCAAATCGACTTTGAGAATATTAAGCCTCTAGGAACTGAGAATAATTTCTGTAAGAGATCCTTACTGGAAATGCGCTACATATTAAGAGAAAAAAACTCCATGAACAGGCGTACTGACATTGATAATCTCAGCATCATTTATCACTCATTGCTGTTGAATAATCTTTAACATATTTTCAGTTTAATGTTACATTTCACAATTTAACTTAGGTACACCTAAATCCGATCAAGACATGGCCTAAATTTTTCACTTTTTGTCCTTTAGGAAAAAACAGCTACCAGTGTTGTATTATATTATATTGTTTTTGTTAGCATATTGTGACATTTTGGTAACTTTTCAATGTTTGTATAAGTTTTAAATAAAATTTTGAATGTATTTTTTTAATATAACTTATATTGTATTTATTTAATGTATTTTATAACATCTCAACATATGCATTTGACATTGTTTGACATCTATATATTTTTTTTTGAACCTATTCTCTATCCTTCCATTGTTGGATATAGGTCTCCCCCAGTTCTCTCCATCTTTCCCTATCTTGAGCTGTTCTCTGCCATGTGGGACCTCCTTGTTTCCTGATGTCATCTTTCCACCTCATCTGTGGTCTGCCTCTTGATCTCTTTGCATTGTATGGACGCCACTTTCCGATGGCATGGTTCCATCGTCCGTCTTGGAGACGTTCATTGTGTCCAGCCCATTTCCATTTTAGTTTTGCTGCTTGTTCTATCGCGTCTACTGTCATTGTTCTGGTTCTGATCCTCTGGTTACGTTTTCTATCTCTAAGTGATACACCCAACATTTGTCTCTCCATCGCTCTTTGTGCCTTCCTTATCCTATCCAAATTGGCCTGTGTAAATGTCCATGTCTGTGCTCCGTAGGTGAGCACCGGTATGATACAGGAGTTATATACCTTACTTCGTAAGTATAGAGGGATTGTTTGATTTTTTAGAACGTAAGAAAGTTTGCCGAACGCTGCCCATCCCATTCTTACTCGTCTCGATATTTCGGCTGTTTGATTTTCTCTATTAGCTCTGATTGCTTATCCTAGATAGATATACTCATTTACCTGTTCTATTTTTTATGTTTTTATTTTTATTGCCTCTTGGTCTTCCGTGTTTGTCATTACTTTTGTTTTGTTGAAGTTAATTTTTTGACCTTTTTGCAGTGATTTTTCATGAAGTTTATTCAGAATTAATTCCAGTTCTTGTCTTCCGAGGAGATCAGGAGTATATCATCCGCATATCTAAGGTGATTTAGGTATTTTCCGTTAATACATATTCCTCTGTTTTCCCAATCTGTTGATTTTATTATGTCTTCGAGGGTCAAGGTAAACAGTTTAGGTGAAATTATATCGCCTTGTCGGACTCCTCGTTTAACTTTTATATTATCCGTTATTAATTTGTCGTCCAGAATTACGGTCATGGTTGCGTTTTGGTAAATATCATGTATCAATTGTCGGTATCTTGAATCTATTCTACTATTGACCAGAGCTTCTTCAACCGCCCAGTGTTCAATGCTGTCGAAAGCCTTTTCGTAATCTACGAATGCTAAGTACAGCGGAAGGTTGTATTCATTGGTTTTCTCAATTAAGATTTTAAGCGTATGTAGATGGTCGATTTTGCTGTATTCTTTTCTGAATCCGGCCTGTTCCACTGGTTGGTAGTTATCAAGTTTATAGGTTAGTCGGTTGTTTATTATTCTTGTGAAGGTTTTATATAGTTGCGACAAAAGGGAAATAGGACGGTAGTTGTTTAGGTCTGTTCGGTCTCTCTTCTTATGTATTAAGATTGTGTTGGTATTTCTCCATTGTTTGGGTATTTTACCTTCAAACAGACATTTGTTGAACAGTATTTTTAGCATTTTTTTTATCGTGTCTCCTCCTTCTTTTAGCAGTTCCGCCAGTATTTTGTTCTCACCGGCCGCTTTATTTCTTTTCATGTCGTTTATGGATTTTTCGATTTCATCTTCAGTTATTTCTGGTAATACCTCTGAGCCAACATTTTGTATTTTCCTCGTGAGATTCTGTTTAGATGATAGTGGTGGGTCATTTTTAGAACTGTATAGGTCTGTGTAATATCTTTCTGTGATTTTTACTATTTCTCCTAGATCTCTTTCTTCATTGTTCTCAGCTTTAAGCATGATTAGTTTTCTTTTTCCTATATTTGTCTTCATTGTTTTTAAACTTTTGTTCTTCTCTATGATTTTCTTAATGCGGTCTTCTTGGTATTTCTTTAAATCTTCCTTTATCTGTTTTCTTATGGTTTTATTCAGTTCGGTATATTCCACTGTATTTCTTTTGTTATCATTCAGTAGTTGTCGTCGTTTTTTTAGCATATCTTGTGATTTAGCGCTAATTTTTTGTTGTTTTCGCTTTTGTTTATTAGCAATCTTCAAGCCTGCTTCTAGTAGTTCTGTTGTTATTGTATCGTTTAATTCGTCTAGTTGCAGACCCTTTAGCTGTGATATGTCACTTCTTTTTAGCTGGTTTATGTATTGTTCTTTGCGTTCTTTAAGAAGTTCTGTATCTATCTCTTTTTTAGATGGTTTAAATTTTTGTCTGTCTGTTGTGGAGTTAATTTTGATTTTAAATCTAACAATTCTGTGATCACTTCCTACGGAAATCATGTTTATGACCGTAACGTCTTGTACTATGCACTTTTCTTTGGATAGGATGTAATCAATCTCATTTTTTGTTAAACCATTGGGCGCGACCCACGTCCATTTTCTCTGTGGTTTTTTATTGAATCTATAAGTCTAGTATATGACTTTACAATCATTAGAACTGAAGTAGTGCAGAAATACTGCACGAAACGTTTTCTATTAAAAGATTGAAATAGTTTTTTCATTTTTTATTTCTCCTTGACCGATATCCTCATTTACAGTGAGATTTTATTCTCACTCACATTGTGTATTTAAATTTAGACGGTCGTACTCCTTTCAATATATATATATATATATATATATATATATATATATATATATATATATATATATATATATATCCCTTTACAATAGAAAATTTATGTTTTTTTTAGCTTGGAGGTATTGTAAAACCCAACGATGGATATTGCCACTTATCCTATGATGGTTCCTACACACAATCATCCTATCAAGATTACCCCTCAATCGAACAAATAAATTGGAGCGTAAAGAGAAATTCAATTAATGTCATTTTTGCTGTCACCGACAATACTGTTAAAACTTACGAACAGATTTCCAAAAACATAGAGGGTTCGTCAGTGGGAAAAATGGATGTCGATAATTCGAATATTATTTCCCTAATAGAAGAACAATACGGACGAATTTCTTCTTCCGTTCAGATGAAAGATAATTCTTCTAATGTCTTGAATATTAAATATTTTAGTAAATGTTTGAATTCCGCAGGAGCCTTGGTTCATACCAATAAGTGTGATAATATAAAGGTAAGTTTATATTTTCTAATATTTATATCAGACGCAGTTAAACGATTTACAATGCTGAAATGGAACTGGACAGGCCATGTTACCAGATCCAGAGACGGAAGACAGACCGAGACAATTTTAGAATGGAGACCTATACACGATGCTTATCGCAGTCGAGGACGTCGTCCAACAAGATAGTAGAGCAAGAGAAATTATTCTGCAAGCTATCTGATCCAGCATGACCAGTGGATCCTACTGGAAGGGTCGACTGTTTATTTTTTTTTAATAGTCTTCATGCTTGTCTGCCAGTTTTTTTTTAAATTCAGACTCTAAATGGTTTCCTTTCTCATACATACTATTCTCCATAAAAATGTTATAGAGTTAATTACATTCATTATACATATTCCTTTAAATGTAGTCCTTATAGACGCCTCTTGTGACGCACATTTTAGCTGTTGCAACGACGACACTTCCAAATCTTTCACAATTATCTACTATCGCTGGGGTTCATCTTGTAAACTTATCAAGATCTTGTGAAAAGACGGTTCCAGTTTGCTTTCCGAAATTTTCATCTTGGTCTAGGAATTGACCTACTATGGGTATTTTTATTTCTATTTCGTAAAATTCAGGGTGGGAGCACATTTTTTGTCATACTTATGGTTGGTCCAGAGTATTTTTTGTTAAAAAGCACATCCCCGTTTTGGTTATTCTTGTCGCCTACATAGATTCCTAGATGGTTAAGCATTTATACACATTCCATATTGACAGCTCTTCAAATTTTATCGTTGTGCTGGGTATGTCGTTTTTAGAGGTGGTATTCACTGTGATCCTATTGGCTGTAGGATTTGTCCTGCTGAGTTCTCCTATGTTTAGTTGGCAAATACGGAGACGGGATCCTATATAGCTTGCCTGATCTGATTAGATCCTTTTTTGCGATGGTGTATCCATCACGAAAAACGAAAACGAAATTTCGTTACACGAAAAACCAAAACAAGACCAACCACAAAGCACACAGTTTTTACATAAATTTGGGAGCTACATTTAAATTTTTTTATGATTATTTCTTCTTCTTCAGTGCCTTATCCGGTTCGGATGTTGGCGATCATCAAGGCTATTATGGTTTTATTGACTGCTCTGCGAAACAGCTCAGCGGAGGTCATCCCAAACCACTGTCGAAGGTTTTTCAACCACGAGATATGACGGTGTGCCGGTCCTCTCCTGCCAAATACTTTACCTTGCATAACGAGTTGAAGAATTCGATATTTTTCTTCGTTCTGCATAACGTGGCCGAGGTACTCAAGCTTACATTGTTTCCATTTGGTTTGATATAACTCCATTTTTGTTCTACACTCTGTTCTTATTGTTTAGCGGTTTCTAGTTTTTCTCTCATTACATCTCTTACGTTCTGATGAACTACGGGGTCTTTTAGAGTAATAACACAGGTTCTGTTTAGGTTTCCTTTGATGAGTTTCTTTAATTTGAGTTCTTTCTGACCCACTAATGGGTTATGCTCCGATGAGACGTCAGCTCCTGGGAAGGTCTTCGCCGAAGTAAAGCAGTTCTTGAATCTTTTGTTAATGAGAATAAAAATTATCTGATGTTGATATTGTTGTCTATATCTGCAGGTGACTTCCATGTATAAAGTCGTCTCGGCGGCTTCACGTATAAAGTCTAAACCAGGTGTTAGCAATGGTAAAATTCTCTTCCCGACAAAATTGGATAAGTCGGTCTGCTCTTTCGTTTTTCTGCTCCAGCGACCGTTTTGCTAAGAATTACTGCTACCCTATTCCAGTGTTCTTCTTCCCCTGCCGGATCTTGGTATCCTAAGTCCATGATCAGTACCTTCTCCAAATTGTTTTACATTAACCATGATAAATGAACTAGGAACTATTTATGGGGTGGTTTCAGGTTGTTTTCCCCATCGCAGTGTCACAGCCATTTGACTCATAATGCGAGTGGGCCTATGAGTATCTAGAATTAAGTCTACTGGATTTTTTTACTTTCCCACAGCCCTAATGGCTGCCTAATGCCATATTCTCAGTTGATTCGTGGGTACTTATTTGGCTATGCCTTATTCGTATCTGTCCTGCATATCTGCATCAACTTTCCCTATCAGCCATTGCGAAACGCCGTGTCGGAGTGGAGGACTTCTCCGCCTAGTCTGTCTTACGCAAAGTACTGAAGAGCCCCTACTCAATTTAAAGCCCCTCCTCTACGCAAGTTAAGACCAGTCATGGTCTCAATGGTTGGTCTTGGGGATGCTTAATTTTAGATTTTACTGTATTTCATTTTTTGCTCCTCTTTATTACTTATTTAGTTGTTGTTTCAATTGAATTTTAGATCGTATTTTTTTTAGGTCGGTGACGTTGTAACGTTCAAAATCGATATAGAAGTCTTAAAATGTCCTAAAAACCGAGCAGATCATTTCCAGACAATTCAAATATACCCCGTTGGTATGCGTGAAAGTTTGAAAATCGATTTAGAAATGATATGTGAGTGCGACTGCGAAAAACCCGGCAATAGAGTAAGTTAAATTTATAATCTAATGTTAAATCAAATCAAATCAGATATTTCTATTGCAAATTTTAAAATTTAGGGCCGATTGTTCGAACGGTAATCAAAACTTGATTGTAATCAAATATTTAATTACAATCAAATACATCACAGCAGCTGTCAAAATCATTAAAAATTGCTTATTATTATTATTGATTTGTACATAAAACCATGAAATTAAAATCAAAAAGAGTTTAATTATGGTTTATTTTAAATTAAAACGCAAAATAATAAAATTTAATAAAATAAATCAGTCAACATAACCTCAAAATATGACGTATTTGATTTTAATTAAATATTTGATTACAATTAAGTAATCGACCCTTGTGTAATAAGTAAGTCTGTCATTTATTTCTACTACCCAGTTTGAAATGGACTCACACGAGCAAAGAATTTATTATTTGGATAGTATTAAATTTATATACATTAAATGTTTATATTAATACGATGACACGAGTTTTGTAATATTGCAGTTTTAAATGATGTAAGCAATGTGAAACTGAATGTGTCGTAATTGGCCAGCTTTAAAGATTAAACTCCCTTACGGGTTTATATTCTATATGTAAAGTATAAATACTGATCTATATACTACTACATCTCACCCATCGTATATCTAAAGGTAAAGCATATCTCAGTTGTGCTATGGAGTTATAGAAATTACCATTTATTTTTAGCTTAAATTGTTTTTGTATCAAACATTTCAATTTTTATTTTCAGTATTATAAAGAAAATGCCCCGGCATGTTCAAGCATGGGCACATACAAATGCGGCATTTGTGAATGCAGTCCCGGGGCTTTTGGGAAACATTGTGAATGCATCTCGGATTCTTCATCAACCAACATAACTGTCAACGATTGTACTCCTCCAGACGTACCAAATGCGTTATTATGTTCCGGCAGAGGACAATGCGTCTGCAATAAATGTATGTGTGAGTCAAGACAGAACGAAAATGAGGTTAGTATTATGTAGAACAAAAATTACAAACTGTATTGTGATCATACATTTTTTATTTGTATAGTGTTTTTGCATTTTTTTTATTTTAAGAATATTTTATAATCACTTCTTCTTTTTTTAATAACGCTACAACTTAAATTGAGCCTTTTTTTTAATTGTCGTGTTGCCAGATTCCAGTAAGAGTCTAAGAAGATATCCATTGAATTCTGACAGGCAATGGTGGGGGAAATATTTTTTGTACATCTACGTCACGTAACAAAACACTCTAACATCTTTCGGCTGAGAAGGATACTAAGCCAGAAGACCCCAACGTAGTGCCGCATTAACTGTGTTCCGGCTAAAACCTTAACCACCGTTTCAGAGAGTTGGTGTTGTGACTCAATAAACAACTAAAATAAAAAAGAAACTAAATATTTATAAATATCCATACATATTACCGTAAATCAGAAAATGTTTAGATGTTAGGACATAAACTAATAAATAATATTAACTATAAATTTTTAAACCCCTGGCTCAATTTCCTCCTCTGTCCTCCTGTTCCTTTTTCTTCATCACCCCAGAAATCAGACAGTGTACAGTTGCGGTCACGGAATAGTTTACACCTTACTTTTTATATTGTAAAACTGTAAAATTGCAGTGTCGTACGGATTTGATAAATGTCAAAGTCAAAAAATTTCAAAACGTCAATGCTTTCGCGAGTGTTCAACAATAAAATAAAAGTATATTAAACTCTTCCAAAATGGTTAGAATACATTTGAATTATGCGCAAAAAGCAAGAGCAATTGCCAAACTCGAAGAAGGTTGGTCACTAAGGCAAGTTGCTGCTGATTTGAACGTGAGTCATATGTGCATATGGAAGATTAAACAAAGATGGGATAATTTTCACTCTATAGCACGGTTGGGCGGTTCAGGAGGGCAGAAGATTTCCACAGATCAACAGGATGAGATGTTAGTAGATTATTTGAGAGAATCTCCTTTTGCCACAGCTCAAAAGGCGAGAGAAGAGGCAGCATTTCCAGGCAGTATTCGCACTGCACGTCGAAGAATTAAAGCAAGTGGACTGCTAAATTGTGTAGCTGCACGGAAACCTTTTTTGACTGAGGATCACAAGAGGAGACGAGTTGAATTTTGTAATGAATTTATAAATCGCGATGAGAATTTTTGGTCTAGGGTTGTATTTTCCGATGAAAAAGTATTTCAGTCGTATAATAATGGTCGAATAAGAGTTTATAGGCCGAGAAATCATAGGTATGATGAACAGTATACGCATCATTTAAGAAATAGTGGAGGATTCTCTGTCAACGTATGGGGATGGATAAGTGCCGAAGGCCCGGGCGTTTGTTATCATGTAGAGGAGAAGTTAACAGGATTATATTACAAACATATTATTGAGCACACAATGTTGCCATCGGTGATCCAGAGATTCCCCAACAACGACTTTATCTTCCAACATGACAATTGCCCGGTGCATACGAGTAGAATTGTTCGAGAATGGCTAGAAGAAACTGATGTTAATGTTCTTCCGTGGCCTTCCCGTAGTGCAGACTTTAACCCCGTCGAAAATGTGTGGGCAGAGTTAACAAAGAAACTAAATGAAAGAAACCTTAGACCACGGAATAGAATTGAATTATGGGAAGCAATTGAGCAGGCATGGGAAGAGCTTGTTAACTATAACATGAGGGGATTGGTGCTATCTATGAACAGAAGACTGCAAAATTGTATTGACAAGAATGGGGCTTCCACCAAATATTAATTATTATTTATCATTGTTTATCGTTATTTAATATAAAATAGATTTAAAATAAAATGCATATTAAAAAAAAAGACTTCTTTATTTTCGTTATTAAGATCATAATCCATTTTATTCAAAAAACTGTTTTCTATATTTTTCATTTTGTAAAATATTTTGATATTTTAATTTTAATCTACCTATTCTAGCTAGTACACCACTGGCAACGTCACTTTGACGTAAAAGGTGCGTTTAAACGAAGTAAAAATTTAAAAAATGGGCTCCTAGATACGTGAACCTGTAAACTATTCCGTGACCGCAACTGTACTTCTCTCCATTCTTTCTCTCCTCTCAACATTATGTTAACAATGTTTCTTTCATTCAGCCCGAAACCCATTCGCCTCTCGAAATCTCCCATCTCATTTGCCCATCTCTGGCAGTTAAAAATGTGGGCGGGAGCGTCTGGTACCCCACAAACACTACAGTCTGCCGAGGCAGATTTGCCTGTTCTATTTGTAAAGGTGCCAAAACTACCATGTCCGGTCAGAAACTGCGTCACGAAGTAGTCTAGTTTCCTGAACTTACATTCCCACCACGGTCTCAGATCGGGAATAAGCTCCTTCGTCCACCTTGCCTTTCCACTATCATTCGCCCACCTTGCCTTTCCACTATCATTCGCCCATTCTCTCTGCCACTCTACTATCGTTCTTTGTCTCTCATTCTCATGTATATTTACATCCATCCTCCTCGCATACATCCTCGCTTGCTATTTACACAACAAAACGATCGGTATCACCGCTCCAATGACATATAGAGCCTCATTCGAGACTGTCCTATATGTGCTAGATAATCTTGGCCCTTATTTTACTTTGCCTCCAATGTAGCAGGTGCGCCGCTCGCCTCCAAGTTTTTACTTTTGGTAAACTGTGCACACCAGCTGCCAATTTAGTTTCCCATCTTTTACGTAGCCTATTTTCGACACATTTTTGTAGTTTCTTTCTGCTTGTATTGCTTGTTAGATTCCTTCAAAACGCGGGGCTCTTATCTCTATATTCCCTTTTTCGTTCTGGCACTAATCCTGCTTATGTTTATTTCTCGAGACTCTGTTAGGAAGTTCCATGTACCAAATGCATATTCCTTATTTCTTCGTCGTCAACGATAAAACTGTTCTATCCAAGGCTTGTTTATAGGTCTGCTAGTTGCATTTTTCTTTACGAAAACGGATAACTGACTCATTGCCTAACTCTTCTTTTTTACCGAAACTTGGGACCGACAATGACACTATTAGGTGCTGAATCTACTTACGAGTGCCAACCACGGAGTTTTAAAAATATAGTACGTTATTCTTTTTTGATTTGTTACATTTTTTTAGAGAATCTACGGCAAATACTGCGAATGTGACAACTTCTCCTGTGAACGTCATGACGGCAAACTTTGTGGTGGTTTTGGCCACGGTATATGCAACTGCGGTGTGTGCCAGTGCCATGATAATTGGACCGGTCCGAACTGCGCATGTGCAAAGTCCAACGCTGCATGTTACGCTCCAGGCGTTACGGATGGAAAGATTTGTTCAGGACACGGAAGATGCGAGTGCGGCGTATGTCACTGCGATTTAAAGGATGAGGGACGGTATTCTGGAAAATTCTGTGATATATATCCGGTAAGTTTTTGAATAGTAGTTCAGAATAAGAAACAAAACAAAGCCTATATAAATTGGTACTTAAATTCAATCTACTTGATGTCCAATACTACTAGTGGTAGAAATACTAACAAATCGCTAAGCTAGGTAATAAACTGATTTAAAACGAACAGACAGTTAAGATTTGATTTCATGTATAGTGCGTCTATGTATATGATTATACGTATTTTGCCCTAAAAGGGATCTTCGAAGCGGCTATTCACAGTCGCTTGAACGTGAAAATAAATCTTTACTGTCTTAGTAGAAGCAACTCTAACATGGCTTCGTATGGACGCAAATAGCGACATCTGATAATAAATCCGTAAACTAATTTTTCGAAACCAATTCAGATTTCTGTTTTAATCCGTGCTTTCTAAGAAATGCATACTCCGGTATGCAATTATCTGTCAATATCTTATCAATAATACTGGTTCGATTATCTTCAGGAAATAGTATTTGCATAATATTGAAATACATTGTAAACTATTCCTTTGGATTCTGGTGTCAATCTGATCTGTTTACTCATACTACACTTAACCATCTCTATTCTACAAAATAGTTGTAATACGCGTGGTAGCACCTTTCTTGTTGAGACTCGATAACATAATGAGACTAAATTACAAACTCGTTTAAAATCCAGTGACTAGAATTTCTCGGAAATAATTCTTATCAGTTCTTTGTATGACCTTAACGGGTCGCTAAGGAATCATTAACTATGACTTTATAATTACGGTTTTAAGGTAATTAATACTAAATTAGAAATTAACTTTTACCCAACTTTATAGAGTATCAATTATTAAAGATTATTGTAACAAATATTATATATATATATATATATATATATATATATATATATATATATATTATATAACAAATGTTATAAGGTATTATAACAAATAAAGTTTGGTATCTATAAAACAATCTGTGTCAAACTCAATTTATTATTAAAGTGAGTAATAATCTTGATATTCTATTGTCTGCGCGATTAAACATTTCGTGGAAGGGCTCGCCATTCGATTTGAAATAAGCTGTACTTGTCGTGCTAGATCTTTTGGAAAACGTAAATACATATGATAAACTATAATTTTAGCCTATATTTTTTCAGAGTTCTTACGCAAAAATCATATGGGAACTACGTTAACTTATTTTTGAAGGTCTATAATAACTGAAGATTTAAATTTAACCCCTCACTTCACTAATACTGTACCTGTTGTATACCATTACGCTACTGGAATCTTACTGGAACCGCCTCAAGAATGGAGGAAGCTGTCTGAGCCATCCAGATGCGCGCACAAGTTGTGTGAGAGTTAATCTTCTGATTGCTTCTTATTATGTGGTAATAGTTTAATTTAACAAACCTCGGCAGTAAACAAATATACCTATTAGCTGCAGACTACATTTACTTTTAATAATAATCGCTACAGTGAAGTATCCCGTTTTTTTCAGACTTGTCCAAATAGATGTGCCGAATTCAAAGACTGCGTTCAATGCCAACAGTAGGTCCCCGAGTGTAGGCGCAAAATTTCGGGACAATGCTTTTTAAATGCATTCATTTTTTTCGAATCCTGAGAAAACTAAAAAATATTTTTGAAAAATTAAACGCAAAAT